CCCTACTTCTTCTTTATTATTTGTCGTCGACCGGGGCGGGGGGGGAGGGAAATGTTCTTTCTTCGCCAAAGGCGGATTGGTGGCGGCGGCAAACCTGCAGCCAATCCCGAGCTCCTTGCGACTCTTGGCGCAAATCAAAACAAACAATGCGTGCTTTCTCATTCTTCCTTTCCTTCCTCTCCGCTATCGCCCAAAGGTCCTGAGAATCACACTAATCAGAGCGGACCAATAATAAGCAAGAAATGGACCATCCCAGGCATCTGGCTAGCAGACTTGTGCAACCATTTTGGAAGTCCTGAGCAGCTTTTCATTTATTTATGCATTTATTTCATTCCATAAAGGTCAGATGGTACAGTGGACGTCTTGAATTAATAAACGGTTTTTCATTAAAAGTGTGGGAGGGGGAGCCGTATTGTTCCAAAGTTTCTGGTATTCTCCCTTACTTCCGGAAGGGCGTCTCATTAATACATATATAATACACAAATTCGTTAATATTTAATACATATATATACAGAGAGAGAATAAAATATTCACAAACAATTACTCTTTCTTTGCCAAGGATTTCCAGCTAATAGGCTTTTGCTGAATCTTATTTGGGCAGGGATATGCTCTTCTGGATGGGTTACACACTTGGACTCTGGAAAGGTGGAAAAGCTGCTTATTTTTCAGAACTCGGAGCAGAATAAGATGTGGAAAATATGAACTAGAAGAACAAGATTGCATTTAGGTCACAATCCTGTGCATCATCTGGGCAGAAGTGGCACTGAATTTAGAAGGGCTCCTAGATAAACATAAGCAGCATTAAGATCTGAATAAGTGAGAGTTAATAAATAAATGATAATGATAATAATAAATAATAAAGTTAGCAAATTACAAGTTCTTTGGGCTGAGCAATGTCTGTGAGCTAACCTTCACCATTGTGATGTAGTTCTACCTGCAGATAGTATTTCTTGTTTATTGAGGAACATGGCTAGCTGTGACTTTCCAGAGTTATCCTGAGAGTAACTGGAATGGAAGATGCTTTATTTTGTTCCTATCTTAGGTCAGGTGGAGAAGGTTAGCCTAGCCTGTAGCTTTTAGTCTGAACTGGAACTAGAAAAGGAAGCAGAGGGATAATCCATAGTGTTTATGCACTTGTGCAAGGAGACCCTCATCTTTTTCTCAGCCTGAGTGTATATCATAGAAACTATGATCTGATTCACAGAAAATTGAATGCCAGACAAGTTCAGGTTCCCAAACTTCTCATCACTCAGTAGCATGGTACACAGGCATGACAATGCTCACCTGGGAGTAATGCCATTCAACTTGGTGAAGTCTACTTAGAATTTATAAACTCATGTAACTAACCCCCTACTCACTGAAAGCAATGTCATCCATCCACTAGAACTGGTTACCCAAAAAATCTACAGGCTACAGCTCAGGCGTATACATTCAGACAACCTGATCAAATTTACTAGGACTTAAGTACACATTGACGTTGGACTGAAGCATAAATGGGCTACCGTGGAATTTGGATATGTTACCAGAAATCATCTGGACAGCATCTTCTTTTGCTTAATTCAAGCAAGTGAACCAAGAATAGCAATAAAAAAGGCTGTTTCCCTGAAATTATCTAGAATAATTAGATAAATAGATCAAAGAAAAAAATAATTCATGCAACACAATATGACAACTGGAGCAACTTTGTTTATTTTTATGTAAACAAAAATCCATGAAATCTACCTGAGGAAAAGTAGGATGGGAAACAAGGAGTTAGCAGAACAATTTTAAATCAGTATCTTCAGTATATGTTTAATATGGGGATTTTTTATCTAATTTACATAGAAAGTTGGCAAAATTTACATGACACTGTAATCTCTTCTATTCCTTACCAGTTATGACTAATGAGAACCAGTTCCAGAAAATTGTTGCATTTGGGATAGTTCCCAATGTTACAACAGCACAGGTAGTACAAATTTTGTTATATCTTATCCGTAGTATTCTTTTATCCTCAAATATCCATTTTTATTGAAATTAGGTCCCACTGCAGTAAATCTCAGCACTGACATTAAGTGTGAATTGCTTTCAAGTAAATATATTTTAAAATACAGTATATATGGCATAGCAAATAAACAAAGTTCATATAAAACCTTAAGTCATGGTTTATTTAACCATGATATATTGACTACGGCACAAATGGCTTGATTTCCACGTGTTAAATCATAAAACCACGGTTTACACAGAATACCTGCATTCACATTACATACTAAGCTAAAACTAATCAGATCATAGCTTAGTGAAATCCAGCCAGACTGTTAGGATACTGAGATTCAGATCACTACACATCACAAATATAATAGCCCCCACAATTAGCGGTGAATTTAAATATATGTAGGACCGTTTCTCACATATCTTCTCAAATTATGTTTTCAATTAATATTCTTTCAAAGCTACAACAGAGTCTTCTCAGCATTGCCAATTGATAGGATTAATTTTAAGAAGCATTTAATAAAACCACACTTCTAGAATTTCATACTTGTAACACAAGATTGAAATAACTGAACACTCAGCTTCCATTCTTGTAAAAGTAGTAATGACAGAGCTTGAACAGATGTTCTTTATTTATTACTTTTTTCCTCCAGTTGAACTCAGAGAAGCTCCCAAATTGTTTCCAGACAGATTTTCATCATCCAATTTCTATTCAAGAAAAGTATGATTTAGGTTCAGTGGTAGAGCTGCTATAGTGTAAGGACATAAACAGCAAAAATATTTGTAACACCAAGGGTTTTTAAAATTGGTTTTCTGTTTTGGTTTTAGTTTTTTGCATTAATGTCCTTTAGTTGATGTAAATGAATTCATGAAATATGAAGTCGATTTGAATCAAACATCAGCATTATATAAGCATTACATTCAGGTCTACAACTGTAATACATTTGATTTGATTTAGTATCAGCACCATTAACAAATATGATGTTCCCAGATGGATTAATGGAAAAGTCGGTAAAGAAGAAGTGTGTGCAGGGAACAGAAAACAGCCAAACAAAACCAGACGTTTAAGAAAAACTCTGAAATATCATGGCTACTTATATCTGTTACTGTACAACTATCCAGTTCATTCATTGTTTATTACGGGTAGTCCTCAACTTATGATCACAATTGGAACTGGAACTTCCATCACTAAGCAATGCAGTCGTTAAGTGAGTTGCACCCAATTTTATGACCTATTTTGCCGTGATTGTTAAGTGAATACATCTTCCCTCATTGACTTTGCTTGTCAGAAGCCCCCTGGGAAGGTTGCAAATGGTGATCAGGTGACTCTGGGACACTACAACCATCATAATACATGCCAGCTGCCAAGTGCCCAAATTGTGATCACATGACCATGGGGATGCTGTGATGGTTGTAAGCACAAGGACCAGTCATAAGTCACTTTTTTCAGCACTGTCGTAACTTTGAATGGTTGTTAAACAAATGGTCATAAGTTGAGGACTACCTGTTTTGGGGGGAGAGGGTCCACATGATATGGGTTCCCATTTGTAACTCACTCATGTTTTGCCACTCTCTGTTTATGGAAGAAAACAGAATAGCTACCAGAGGTCTCTTGATTTGTGGTGCTAGTATCCAACTGCCTGGAAACATCTCATCTATTAAAACATAAATTTAGGGTTGCTTACCTTTGTTCAGATCTTTTCAATGGTTTAATCTACAGACATTCAAAAATGGTAATCCATATTTCAGTGGTCCATCCTAGTGGGGAGAGAATGTTCAGAGCACCTATTCCTTGTGTGTAAAATTCTAGAATCCTTACAGAAAGATTTTTTTCTTTTCCACATTAGTCCAAGTCAGTTTTTTTCAAAAGTATTTCTCATGCGCTGCTTTCAAAGATGTCTTGTTCTGTTTCTTTGTTTCTCATGCTATTGCTGGATTTGTACTTCAATCCAATACTAGCAGGATGCAACATGGAAGGATTTTTGCAAACCCCATTGTCCCTGCCTTGATGTCAGAGGGCCACTTGATAACTCGGCAACTGTATCTGCATTGATTTGGGATTTGATCACTTGGATTACATAGAAAAACAAGTTAAAATTTATGCCCAATGATAAGTCTGAAAATTATAAAAGTTAAAATCTTCCTTATCACATGATAACCATAATTTAGATGAAGAAAATCTATGGATTTTTCCTTCCCATAAAGTCCTTCCAAGCTGCTTAACCACTCACTTGAAATGCCTTAAAGGTATTAACACAGGAATCCCTCTATCAAACCTGAAGTAATGTAAATATCTTTCCCCATAAGCTTATGGGATTTTATACTAGTATTAGTCAGAAGTAAATAGTCTGAAACATTTACATCTACAAATAAAGAACTTTTTCTTGGGACAAATGCTCTAACATATAGGCATTTAAAAGAATTCAAATACTAAGCAAAGCTTCCATTTTTACAGATTTCTACAGATAGATTAGTGCCCTTAGGAAGTATAAGAACTTTTAGAAGTGTTCTTAAACCTGCTAATTTTACAAAACGTTTAAACATATTTGTTAAAATTATTTTTGTGTCAGAAATTTCAATACCATTTTCTAATTTCCTTGATTAAAGTAAATGTACTTGTGAAATGGGGTTTTTAATGCAGTTGAGAATAACTGGCAGAGAATAAGAAACAAGTGCTACCTATTAATCACGGCCGTTACCAGATAGCAGCAATCTATTAACAATGACCACCAATTTGTCTTCTTTTGGAAATATCCATATGTCTTCAACATCTCCACTAGCGTAGTATGTAGCGTGTAGTCACTTATAGTCCTTGAGGGGTCTGCAGAAATACACATGCTGGTAAATTTAGTATTTTACCCTTTATTTAAAAATTCTAGACTTCCAAAATAGAAAAAAAAAAATGGGTTGGCTAAACACAATAATCTACAAGCAGTGCTAATAAAAGCAAAGAAGTGCAGTGAAAATTACATCTCTCTTAGTTTCATAAGTCTTTTTGTTACTGGAGAAGAATGGCTTCAGTTTCTCATTTGTCAGTGAAGTCACCTGAGAGTTTATAAGGTAAAAATATATCTGGAAAAAACCCCTAAAAGTAAGTGGCATATTCCTTGCCCAACCCTAACTTAAGTGTAATAATTGGGTATCCCAACATTTGAGAATCCCCCCATTAAATCATTAACAATGCATTGCCCTTCCAGGACACTTAAAATAAGCTACTTGAGAAGCCACCTCATGCTGTTTAAGATATATTCAGCCCAGTAACTTGGTGAGTGTGAGAGAAGGCAGAATAAATTTAGTGCTAGGGCCCTAACTTTTGAGGTACATGGATTTTTTTAATACCACCTTTATTATTTTTATAATTCACTCAAGGTGGCAAACATACTTAATACTCCTTCCTCCTCCTATTTTCCCCATAACAACAACCCTGTGAGGTGAGTTGGGCTGAGAGAGTGTGCCTGGCCCAAAGTCACCCAGACGTCTTTCATGCCTAATACGGACTAGAACTTAAAGCCTCCTGCTTTCTAGCCTGGTGCCTTAACCACTAGACCAGTGTTTCTCAACCTCAGCAGCTTGAAGACGTGTGGACTTCAACTCCCAGAGTTCCCCAGCCAGCCAGGCTGGCTGGGG